TATAGAAAATAGAGAATGTTTCCATGAAATATGGTCTTGGTTCTATGATATTCATCATTTTTCGAATATTCATTTTTTTGTCTGTTATTTTTCTTTACTTGAGCATTATAGAAGCGAACAAGTTTCAAATATGACTTTGATCGGAAATTTTGTAAATTTTTCAAAAAAAAAAATATTAGATTTAAAAAAAAATGGCGAATTTGCCAAAAATGACATTTAAAGGTTTCTTTTTCGATTTTCACGATAAAGGAGGGGTGGGGGGGAGAAAATGACCATCATTTCCGGAAAATTCAGAAAATTTCCGATCAAAAACTATGTTTTGATTTTTTTTTCTAAGCATTTCTACGAACGTTCAATTCGATTGAACAATTTTCGCGTAAAATCGTTAAACCTTGCGCAGCCCCTCCAATTAAAAGACGGGACCTTTCCTAGTCGAGAAATCTTTTTTTCTATACACAAGTAGTACAAAGAAGCAAAAAAAAAAGTATCGAAAATTTTGAGGCCAGATTTCCGCCGATATTTGGCGGAATGGCCCATATTTTTGACGGCATCGGTAGGGGCATAATTCGGTAGGCCTATCGCTGGGTACGGTTGACCCGCGGTAGAGTTGCATGGATTCAATGTTTCGAACACCATTGGTAGGAGTATAATTCGGTAGGCTTGCCGGTGGATACAGTTGTTCCGTGGTACCGTTGCACCATTGATAGTGTTTGAACGGGGTCTTCTTGTGGGAAAACCAGATTGGTGGGTTAGAGTTGTACGTTGGTAGGGATGATTTCGGTGGTGTTTCATGTCGGTAGAGTTTTCGTGGGTACGGTTGTCCCGTTGCCATAATAATAATTTTCTATTCGTCTTATAATTCAGTTGATTATATTAGGCCGCTTACACTTCTATTTTTTCATTCGATTGAAATTCAGCATCACGTTTTCCTTCTTCTCCATCTGGCTCTCCCACTGGGCCTTGCTCTGGACTTTAGATTTTGCTGTTTCGTTTTCTTTTCAATTAATCCATTGACAAAATCTTCTCCCGTCAAAACTTCTCAATAATTTTCCATTCTACTGAATGGAAAATTATTATTCTCATCAGTACCCCCAAGAATAAATTTAAAAAAGTTGATAAACAAATTTAATAAAAAAAAGATAAAAACATTTTTTTTTGCTTGAATTGTGCCAAACAGTCTTTTTTCGACTGGTTCATTTTTCCCCGTTCTCCCCTACTTTTAAATGTTCAATTTGTTGCGTGCAATTCGGCAGGTATAATTTGAACATTTTGAATTGCAGAAAAAACAAAATCCATCACTGGACCAGAGTTTTATAGATTCGGTTTGTATTCACCCTCTATTCCGCACGTGAAGAACGAAGGGTTAATTGCACATACTCGAATTGTCCAATGTGGGATTCAGATTTCACAATGTGTAATTGATATGGCACATGACAATTCACTTGAATTTAATAGGGGATAATGGGACGAAGGGGAGCGTTCGTAATCGACTTTAATTTTCGATCTCTTTGTTTAATATAAACACAGATATTTGGATTTAGAGTAGATGACAAACGTTCCACTTGGTCCCACCTCATGTATATCGTGGGATTCTGTAAAAAGGTCTTAATGGCGAACATCAGATTTGGCAAACATTAAGGGACGGCATTGTGTGTAGTTTGTCATTTTGTAAAGAAACTGCTGTGTTGGTGTCCAATTACACCTAACTTATGATGAATGACAAGATGGAATGTCAATTTTAAACCTGTAATTATTTCTATAATAAATGAATCCAGAAGAAAACGTCGCCAGTCTGTTTCCACAGAATTATCAAAGAATACCTTTTACCATTATTCTATATAATCACTCGTTTATAAGAGGATGTACGATTCATGAAAATGTCAAAGACTGGATAAATTTTATTTCACCGCTTCATTACTAACTCAAAATATCATCAGAGAATATTTGCACAACTAAGGCAAATGTACATGTGCTCGTTCCTGTCTATACTCGTTCAGAGCTCGTGAACTATCACATTTTAACCATTTTGACAGTCCCAAGAGTATCAAGAGTAGAGATGTGGAATGACCGTCATTTTCCCTTTCGGTCAGGTCAGACGTAAAGAACCGGTTTCTGACCCTCACTGAATTCTGTATGCAAAATGACTGTCACAGTCAAGCTGTTCGAACAGAAAACTTTTTAATAGAATTGAATTATTATTTATTATTTTATTCATTTATTATTATTAATGGCCCCGTTCTCAATGATACACTGTTAAAAAAAAATTTCATGGACAGTTGACTAGTAATGTTCAAGACAGTACCACTGAATACAATTTGAAGGATAAAATCATGAAATTTCAGTGGAACTTGAAGTGATCTAAATTTCCGAAAAGTGTACTGGAAATTTCAGCTGAAAATTTTTAATAGCGTTGAAATCGTCGGACAGGTGCTCGAAAATTAAGGGTCACCTATATAAATGGAAATTGACGGTCAAAATTTATTAGTTCATTTCATGTTTATAGCCAATTGTCAACTTTTTCTGACCATATGGTCAGATTCTCAATGCGGTAATTACGGATCATGACAGTGGTCATTGACGGTCATTTGACCTGTCATTTTTCCCTCACAGCTTTAATCAAAAGTGAAATACGATTCAAGTTATTATTTTAGTTAATAAGGAAATTTATAGACACCAAGGAATGGTGATTTATTGAAGAATGAGAGAGAAAAATCCCATTCGCATCAACAGGTGCTACGACAGAATGAATTTTTAAGCTTCAAGTTAAGAAACTCACAATTTAAAAATGTTGATATCGCCGTTATAATAGTAAAATAGGATTAAAAATCGTTAGACTGAAGTTTCGGATGGTTAAAAAAACAATAAAAATGCATCAATTATAGTAATATCTTAATATTTCACGGAAATTTCGGTAATTAAAAGAATAGATAAAATAGAAATGGCACTGATCCTATGCTTGTTTTGCAACCAACTGTTATCTGGTAAACGGACCAAACGGATGAAAAAATCATTTCAAAGGTTGGACTGTTCAATTGAAATATAATTTTGTGCTTCGAAATATTTTTTAACGTTGCTTTATCTCAAATAGATTACTCACGATATAATTAGTTCGGAGGTACCCTTTCCATATCATTCAAATCACGAGGAGGATAGGGATATGTGTCAAATGTGCATGGGGACAAATGAATGAGCGTAGGGAGATGGAACTTTCAACGTTTATGGACGATCATTTATTAAAAAATAATAATTGTCATGATTAATTTAAGTGAATTCTGATTCTGAAGTTTTTACCTTCCGATATTCTAATTTAAAACATCGCATCTTTACACTCATTTCAATAGAAATATTGGATTAATGATGTGTTCTTCTTAGCTACATGAGCGTAAGATCATTTACTCTATTTGATATTGAATTAGGCACTAATTCTTTTTAAAGATTGAAAAGGAGTATGTGAAATGGAAGGAATTGAAGGTTAAATTGAATTGATTAGGCATTAATGTAAAGGAAAAATATTGACAATTGACATTTCGGAGTGAACTCTCTACTCTAAATTCGCGACTTCTCCAATCAATTTCTTGTATTGATAACCAACGCGATGAATGAAAGAGTTTTAATATGAATTTATTTATTTCAAATATGAAGGAGCACTTGAAAAATTGATGTGTTCTTTGATCACTCAATATTTCAACAAACCTAGCAAAAATTGAAATACTTGAGGAGAAAGGGCGATTACTTATTGAAAATCGTTGGCGGAACTCAATTTTGTCCCAATCTGTTAACTCTGTTAGTAGAGAATAAAATTTATTGGATTTTTGAGCAGAACTAATCACTTACTCCAATCGTAATAATTTCTCTTGTATTAAGTTATCACGAAATGAATGAACTAAACATTTTTCTGCATAAAATTTAGCGGAATAAGAAGGATATTTCTGCTTTTTTTCACTTAATGTTCAATCGAACAATTGATAATTATTCCCTCATTGAGGTTATGTGAAATATCGAAACGAACGGAAAAAATGATAGAATTAATTTACGTACTCCAGAGGCCTCCATTTCCTCCCATGTTTCAAAAACTTCATCAACGGTTGACATTGTGCAAAAAATAAAATTCCCCTTGTGCTCTGAATCACTCAAGAAAGCGGACAAAAACACTGTAATTTAGTTTCCCCGATGTTAATGTTTTTGGGCAATTTTCGTGTGGAACCTGATCGAGTTGTCGCACAACCACAGCAGAGAGAGATTGCCAGCGCTTCTGGAGAAACTCCAACGGGGCGGTAGGGGGCGGGGGGACGTTCGTAGTTTCACAACTGTACTGTTACGTTCCAAGCTGGTTCTCCGTTGAACAGATGGCATGTCCAATGCCCGTGGAGCGCTAAAGCACTCTGCTCCACAAGTGCGGGAATTTTCGAATAAAAATAATTGAACACGAACACCAATTTAATTAGATAATCCAATCGAACCGTTTATATTTACTTTTCAAAACTTAGAAGATATTTTATAACAACACTTTGGGTTTTTAAAACTTGAGAAGACGATAACAATTTCTCTCGAACTTCTCGTATCCACGTATGGGGTGAATCTGCCCTTACTCTTACTCTAAAAATTAGTCTAAGTGTCGAAGACGAAGGGCTCATCCCACAGAAAAGAGTAGGGGACCAATCGTGGCCTTGAATCCAGTGAACAGTGTTGGTCTAACACCCCCGCGATCGCTCGAGCTGGCCCAGCCCCAACTCTCGAGTCTACGTGACTTGAACAAAGGGCCTTACATGTGGTTTTTCGGGAGAGACAGAAAATGCTTGAATTTCACCCGGAGAAAATAAACTGTCTCCAGGAAAAGGTTTTACGATTCGAACGGTTTAATGTCAAGCTAGAATTGCACTCGAAAACTCTATATAAAAAAAACAATACAAAGGATCTTTTATTTTTGGATGGCCAGAGCTACGTCGAGAGACTCTTTAGATTTATTACTCGTTTCCTGTTTACGAGTTTCTCAAACTTACTTTCCAAAATTCTATATTTTCTTGTTTCCAAAACCGTGGGAATATTTCAACTTGCTTAAAAATAATATTGGATTTATAAAATTATCAGATAAAAATATTTGAATCTCAATGGTTTAATCTAGCGTAATAATGGGTGCGTTTCGGAATCAACTAACTGTAGCTGCAGTAAAGCGAAATTAGATAGGGTTACAGTACTGCTACTGCTACTAAGTCGATTGCGAATCGCGCTCAATGGTAGTCATAGGGGCTCTATATGGTAACTACTGGTTTACGCGACAGTACATCCACGGCTGTCCGCAGACTTATGAAAAATGTGAGGGAACAACCAGAGATAATAGGGGAGATTGCTCCAGAGATTATAAGGGAGATTGCTAGCGCCTATGGAAACGCTTCAACCGCAAAATTTCGTAGCGGTGGCGCAGAACTAATTTTGAGTACGTACCTGTAAGTAAAACAGGGAGCGTGTGAGAGCGTCGATAACGGCGCAGAGTGGGGGGGAACGCGTATGGGGGAATCGGAGGGCTCCGAGC